CCTACAGATCCTGGAAGCTCAGCAAACTATAAGCAGGATATATACAAAGAAAATCATACTTAGGCATATCATGGTCAAATTAGTAAAAAACAAAGATAAAGAGAAAATATTGATTGACTACAGCCAGAGTAAGATGAGACATTACTTACAGGAAAACAAAAAGAAATGGAATGACATGATTAAAGTGCTGAAATAAAAATAAAACTGTCAACCCAGAACTCAGAACTCTATTTTCAGCAAACTATCCTTGAAACATGGGGGTGAAATAAAGACATTTTCAGATGAACAAAACCCGAAAGAGTTAATCGCCAGCAGACTTACAGGAAGGAATAAAGATGGAAACGATATATGTGTGGGAAAATATAAAAAGATAGCTTCACTTAGTTTTTTTCTTTTAATTTCCTTAAAAGAGAAACGACTGTTAAAACAAAAACCACATCATTGTAAGGAGGAGTTTATAACATAGGTAGAAGAAGAAGAACACTAAAATAATTCAAAGTATTGATGAGGGTGTAAATGGAACTGCTGTAAGGTTCTCACATTTGTGACATATGAAGTGTAAAGTGGAATAGTATTAATTCTAGGTAGCCTGTGATAAGTTACGGATGCATATTGTAATTGCTAAAGCAACCACTAAAAAAATATAAAAAGGTAGTAGATAAAAAGCCAATAGAAAAAATAAAATGAAATACTCAATATTTCATTTTATGAATATTTATGAATATCATAAATATTCAATGACCCAAAAGGTAACAGGAAAAAAAGGAACAAAAAATAGACCAGAACAAACAGGAAACAAATTGCAAGATGACAGACTAATCCTATCATATGAATAATTATGTGAAGTGTAAATGGACAAAGCATTCCGATTAAAAAGCAGAGATTATCACAATGGATTAAAAAAAGACTGCCTGGGCCAGCCCTGGTAGCCTAGTGGTTAAGTTCAGCGTACTCCACTTTGGCGGCCCGCGTTTGGTTCCTGGGAGCGGAACCACACCACTCGTCTGTCAGTGGCCATGCTGTGGTGGCAGGTCACATACAAAAAGGGAACGACTGGCAGTGGATATTAGCTCAGGGTGAATCTTCCTCAGCAAAAAAAGACTGCCTACAAGAGATAAACTTTAAATATATCACCACGGATGAGTTGAAAATAAAAGAATGAAAAAAAGATATACCATGTAAACAATAAGCACAAGAAATCTGGTGTGGCTAGGTTATTATCAGACAAAGCGGACATTCAGAGAAGGTCTAGTACTAGAGACAAAGAGGGACACGTCATAATGATAAATGTGCTAAATAACAAGCAAATATAACCCTAAAAGTGTATACACCTAACAAAAGAGCTCCCAAATACATTTAGAATAATGTATTTTTATACTCCCAACTGACAGAACTACAGGGATGTGTAAACAAATCTACAATCATATTTGGGGATTTTAATACCCCTCTCGGTAATAAATAGAACAAGCAGACCAAAACAAAACAAAACCAGATCTGAAAAAAGCTGTTAACCAACTTGACCTAATTGACATTTACAGAACACTACCACTAATATCTGCAAACACACAACATTCTTTTCACATGCACTTGAAGCATATACCTAAATATGTCATAAAATGGGCTATAAAATAAGTCTCACTAATTTCAAAAGACAGAAGATTCTTACAATGGACATTCTCTGAACATAAGAGATGTTTATTTTTTTTTTTTTTTTAAAGATTTTATTTATTTATTTTTTCCCCCCAAAGCCCCAGTAGATAGTTGTATGTCATAGCTGCACATCCTTCTAGTTGCTGTATGTGGGACTCGGCCTCAGGATGGACGGAGAAGTGGTGCCTCGGTGCGCGCCCGGGATCCGAACCCGGGCCACCAGCATCGGAGCGCGCGCACTTAACCACCAAGCCACGGGGCCGGCCCAGAGATGTTTAAATTATAAGTCAATAACAATCAGATCTCCAGAAAAGCACAAAATATTTGGAAATTAAACATTTTTATCTAAATAACACTCTAATAACATTCAAAATAACAAAGAAATCCGAGGAAAACAAGAAATTATTTTTAACTGAATGATAATGAAAAAACGACGAGGCAAAAAATTGGCTCTTTGAAAAGATTAATAAAATTGCCAGAACCCTAGCAAGGCTCTTTTTACCAAAAAAAAAAAAAAGAACAATAACAACAACAATAGAAAACAAAACAAAAATAATGACCAATATCAAAAATAAAAAAGGAGATAGAACTACAGACCCTATAGACATCAGACTAATAAGAGAATATTAGAAACAACTTTATACCAATAAATTTAGCCACTCAGTATATTTGTACAATGGAATACTGCTAACCCAACTCCTTACACACAGAACAACATGGATAGATCTCACAGCTATTATCTTGGGGAGGGTGAAGGGGGACAAGTACAAGCATATAATTATACATACTGTAGAATTACATGATGTTTCAAAACTGGCAAAGCTAATCTATGGTAATATAATTAGATCAGTGGTTACAACTGGGGCAGAGGTGAGACGAGTGGAACTCACTGCAAAGGGGCACAAATGATATTTCTGGGATGATGGAATACACAAACTGTCAAAACTCATCACACTGTACACTTACCTGAACTTCCTTGAATGTAAATTTATCTCAATGAAGTTGATTTTTAAGGGAAAAAAACCCACAGAAATAGGAAGCAATGTCAATTTAGTCCAAAATTTTTTAAAATTTTAAAAATTCTTCAAAAAATACATCATTCTATTATATACCATCTTAAGAGGACAGGAAGCATAAACTATGGGCCAGGAAGTGTGCTAGACGTTTTCACTTATGATACCACACAAAGATTGTATCTTTAATTCACAGTAAGATCTAGCATGGTGCCTTGGGAGACAGCTGTGTTACAAGTGAAAAAGCAATAAACCTGGAGTGAGAAGACCCGGGTTCAAATAATGAGTATATTTGATCTGCTAGCTTTGTGACCTTAGACAAGTCACTGTTTCAGGTTCTTCATCAACCACAGGGCTGATGTGAAGATTAAGGAATATTATTTTAAAGCATCTAGTAAAGCACACCACAAACACAAGTTATATCACTCACATTAAGTGCTCAATAGACGCTGATTAAATGAAGAAATGAAGGAGATAAACAACAATATGGACAGGGATACAAGCAGACAGGAAGAGACAGGGGAGAGCATGCTCATAGTCACATTTTGTTCTACGGATGGTTGGGGTAGAGGGTGGAACAGAGACTTCCAAGCACGATGACCTAATACCAAGTTCCTATCATGAGCAGCTGGTGCAGTGAGTAGGATACAGGTGGCTGACCTCCCAGAATGCAAATACTTTCATTGTGACCTGGATCACAGCATTCTGGGCTAACAATCCCTTGTCCTAGCAAGGAGAGTGAAAAGGGAGGCTACTTGTCTACCTGAGACTCCAAGGGGCTACCCAAGCTGCTAAGAGTTGCAGTGACTCTTTTGTTACTGTGGACCTTTGAAATGCCAACATAACTGATGACCCACTGTTTAGAGTTCTCCATTCCTCCTTATCCTTAGGTTGTCAGAGATTTTGCTCTAAATGAGACAACCAGAGCAGAGATCTTCTGGATACAGCAGCAGTGACCAGAGCAATAGCATCATTAATGCCTAGCAGGCTGATTTTCAGTAGAATTCCAGGGAACGATGCTAGATCTGACAGAGTATTCAAAAAGTACACAAGAGAATAAAAATCTAGAGGGTAACAACAATAGAGGGCCAGATTTAAGATCTGAAAAGTCATGTATCCTCACCTAGAAATTCAATACTCAATCACCGTATAGTATGATACGTTATCTGACAGAGGTTTTAACACATGCTATGGAGGCACAGAGAGGAGACAATGAACCAAGTGGTGGGGGAGGAAGCAGTATCAGGAAATAGTCTTGAAGAGAGTGACACCTGTGCTGAATCCAAAGATGTTAAGGAGTTATTTGGGCAAAAGGGATTCCAGGTAGGGGGCACAGCATGTACAGAGACTCAAGAGGGTTGGATGGTGCCATCTGCAGAGAACTGCAAGTAATTCCACATATCTGGAGCATATGGTATGAAGGGAAAATGAGGAGATGGCAGAGGCACAGGCAGGGTCTTGGGAAGGACCTTTATAAATCAGGCTGAATTTACATTTCACCTTGAAGATGAAGGCAAGCCACTGAAGGATTTTAAGCAAGCAGTACCACAATCAAATTAGCATTTTTAAGAGAGCATTCTGGCAACAGTGTGGAGAACAGATTGGAAGGGGACAAAAGTAGAGACAGGGAAACTAGTTAGGAGCCTGTTGACATGATCCATGTGGGGAATGACAGTGGCCGGAGACAGCAGCACTCAGAATGGAGAGAAGATGTATTAGATGCAGGAAAGAGGTAGAATTCTCAAGACTTGTTCACTGACTTGTGTGAAGGTGAGAAAAAGGAGGAATTGAGCATGACTCCCAGGTTGCAAGCTTGGACGTATGAATGGACAGACCGCTGTTCATGGAGATAAAGAATAAGTCGATCTACATTTGAAAGTATAAGAAACAATGATACTGCACTACATTTAAAAAGAAAAAATTAACACAAACAAAAGCACAGGCTGCCTTAGACAATATGGATACACATCTCTGAGAAAAATCAAACGCTTAAATTCACAGAGAGGAATAAGTCAGAGTTAAAGAAATTCCTGTCTAACATATGTTGATGAATGAATAATCAAAGAATAACACGGAAGGCAATTCACTAACAAGAGAGCCATCTACTGCCTTACAAGGATAGTGCAGCATTGAAATGTCACCAAAAAAAAAATGTGGAAGAAAGCCAAGAGTTTTTGACCACTTCACATTGTACATGTATTCACAAAATATCTGACCCCTCCCACAAAAAAATTCCAAGTGGTTAGCACTTTTAGCTAATAGAAATGCTTTCATTGACTTATTTCTCCTAAAAACATCAATTCATTACATAACATTATGTGAACATAAAATGCTTACCTGCCATCATTGCTATCATACTGGCTTTATAGACATTAGTAAGAGATCCAAGTTCTCCTGTTGCTAAGATGGTTTTGAGATGAGCCTCCCCACAGGCCTTGCGAAACTGACGAATCTCATCATACAGGGCTGGGGAAGGAAATAATTGAGGCAGTTACAAAGCAGGCAAGTGATAACATAACTTGGCAGCCATTTAGAGCTGGTAGAACCCATCTCAGATTTAGGAAACATGAAACATTTGTCACTTTCTAAAAATCACCCCAATTTAATATTGCCTAGAGCATTCTGTTGCAGTTCACATCCTGTTACAAGGAATGCTTAGTTTGCTACCGTGAAACTGCTTCTAAGCCCTGGCCCGAGGTCCAGAGCCATGGAGCTTTTTAAATATCATTATAATGACATGCAAATTACAAATAATTTCTACCTTTTCCATATGGTGATTACTTATAAGAAAAAAGAAATCGATCTACCATACATATAGGGGTGGACTACTTTGCAAACTAAAAAAAAAAAATCCTCAGGTCCTTATTAATTCTTCCATTCACACATAATAGGTTCTCTTGTTGGAATATAAAGCAGGCCTTTCCTGAGAGCTCAACTAATGACAATAAAGACATAATAGCTGCTCCACCGTCTGCCAGTGTATGTGTCTATATAGCTGACTAAAAAGTACTGAGTCTGTCCAGGTAGTACGGGATATATGTGAACAAAGCCAGCTGTAGAAGGATTCAGAGATGCAGCCTCGAATCCATTAACACCTAGCCCCAGTACCATATCTGGCTTTCTGGGGCTCCATATAGCACCCTGAAAGCATCCTGATTAAAAAAAAAAAATATATATATATATATATATATACACACACACACCAAAAAAAAAATACATAATAAAATAAAACAGGGAAAACATTTCATATTCAAAGTAATAGAATTTTAATAAACAAAATCAGTATAATGAGTATTAAGTTTTTGAAAAATTATTCAACACAGTCTTTTGCCAATGACCCCAGTGGATTCTGGCTCTTACCATCAGGTTGGCCACACCCATTTCTTAAACTAACAGCTATTGCTACACTATCAGGGCTAAGATTGGGGCTTTATCTTTCCTTTGTATGTGTGTGTGTTTCATAGAAAGTACTTATAGGAAATAAATATTCATAATAAGGGTTCAAGTTAGAGTAAGCATTTTTTAATGTAAGGTGAGAGATGTATAATTCATAGGTTTATGAAAGTACATATAAAAGACTAAAAATTGGTCTCAAGTCAGCAAACTCAGTCAAAATCATAAAATTATAACAAGATGAGCAAAATTTGCCTTCCTAGTCCTACAAAACCTGAACTTAACTTGAAGCTCAAAAGTGAAAACTGAATACAAATAAAGGCAAATATTCGATTACAAGATGCCTGGTAAAGTTTAGAGTTTGTTGCTGTCAAGAGATGGTACCCACAGAAGGTTTTTCAAAAAAGGATTGCATATTTTCACACGTCCCTAATAATTGGTAGTTTTGAGATGATTTGAGATGCCGTACCATCTAGCTTACTTACCCTGCCCATCCTACCTAAACTGTGAGAAAACCGTCCTACCCATACATCCACTATGACAACATGTGTGAGAACGGTATAAACAGTAGAAGACTATGTAGCAATAACAATTTATATTCTTTTAACTCAGAGAATGAATCTTGGATGGAATGACATTCTTGAGTTACTGAATCTAAAAAGAGAAAGTTGTTCTCTAAGAACTAGTGACAAGGAAATCTCTTGATCTAAAAATTCAAGAATGCTAATCCAGAGTTAACTTCTGATTTAATTAGTGATTCTTCTTTCACAGTACAGTGTTGCCATCAAAAGCAAGCTTGAGAGCCAGACAAGCGTGGATTTAAAACCCAACTCTATCACTTTCTGTGTGACTTTAGGCAAGTTGTTTCTCTCAGCCTCAGTTCCATCCTTAAAGTATCAATAATAATATTTACTTTAGAGGGTTAGTACGAGAATTAAAAGGGAAGATATAGATAAAGTACTTTGCACATTGCCTGGTATACTGTAAGCATTCAAAAAATTTAATCATTATTAAGCTCAGAATTCTAGTAAAATGAGTTCCCATTTAGTGCTATGTGATAAAAGTCAAATTTTGTTTCACGGCCTGACCCAACTCCTTGTACTGCACTGAAATTTTCTAGATGGATTAGTGCTTACAATCAGTGAGCCATCAGATAAGGCTTGAAAATATTTTATTACAGCATTTGTTAAAGTGCGCTTTGGCCTGTATAACAAAATTCTTAAAACATCGATCCTGATCATATTTATGAACAAAACTACTGCCCTTTTTCTAAACAGTATTACCTTTTGCTATCCAGTGAATTTCTTCATCTACATTTAAAATTAACCAAAAAAAAAAAAAAAAACAGATGTATTTTACGACTCAATTATCAGCCACCTGGAAGTTACGCTCTTTAATCCATGATCCAAACAGAGTGAACCAAAAATGGTCACTTAGAGCTTAACTGAATCTGACAAATATGCAACCAGTGCCTTCTCATTCTTTAACTGCCAACTCGTCAAATCATTTTACTGACCTATTTCACCACATAACAGGGTCAAGTTTTTCAGAGCAAATATATTAATCTTTAAAGTTCAACACTGGGAAAGTTGTCATTTCTTTCTGTTACCATTCTGCCCAGAATATACCAGAACAATAATATAAAAGCAACAACAACAACAACACCAAATCTGGCCTTTTCAAACTGTGGCCTGGGCTCCACCAAACGAATGCTTCTTCTACCTGGGCCTTTGAATCTTACCGAGTGATGCGAAGATGAAGGAATAGAGATGTTCATTAGTATTGCCGCATCAGCAATGGTAGCAGATCCAAGAGCCCAGAGGCCCAGCGGCCACCAGGCAGCAGCACCAGAAGTGGCCCTGTAACCAAACTCTTCCTATGGCACAACTCGGCTGCGTTGTCTGCTCCCCAGTCTTTCACGGTCCTGCTTGTTTTCCAAGCCTGGTTCTCCAAGCTTCCTACTGATTCAGTGAGCTACTCTACATCCTCTTAATAAATCCCTTTTCCATTTAACTTAATCAGAATTGGTTTCATTAGCTGTCAACTCATACCTCTAGTATAACAAGTATTGACCGAGGAAGTATTGTATAGTGGACAATAGCGTGGGTGCCCTGACTGCCTGGGTTCGTATCCCAGCTCTAAAACTGATTTGTTGTTTGATTTGAGCAAGTTACTTAACTCTTAATCTTTGTTTCCTCATTTATAAAATGGGGATAATAGAGATACGCACACCTCATGGAATTATTTCAACCATTAAATAGGTTAATACATATAAAGTGCTAAGACAGTATCTGGCACATAGTTAACACTTGAGGAATGTCAGCTACTTGTTTTCCTGTTGCTGCCATTGGTGGTAGTGCTGTTACCATTATTGCTGACTGCTTATTAGGTTCAGAGAACAGAGGGACTGATAAAGCAGAGGACGCCATGAACTACATTTCTTAAAGACATAAGATACAACCTTTTGCCGGCACTAAATGAGCAGTCTGGAGTAAAAAAGTTCACTATATCACAAACAATTTTTTTTATACTCAGAGCCATGCTCCTTTGGATAGCACAGGCTCCTGGGATAAGCCAGCTTTGGCTACTTGCTAGTTATGTAAAGTTGAGGAATTACTCAATTTTCCTAAGCCTAATTACTTAGGGAGCCTCAGTTTGCTCACATATTTTTGTGAAGACTAAATAATACATGTGACTGGAATAGCACCAGGCATTTAGTAGGCATTTAATCATTCAATACTAGTTTTCCACATTCTTTTCTTACGTCCAGAAATGCAAAAATAACTTTAAAAAACAAAACAAAGCAAGCAATGTCCTAATACTTAAGAACGCATAATGAGAATTTACAGATCTTACATATAAGAAAAATAGACCACTTCACCCCAACGTGAGCCACGAAAGCCACAAAGAGGCATTATTAGTGTCTAGGTAGTTTTGAGCACCTTGGCATTACAATGATAGACACCTTGGAAACTAGACAGATGATACATGCAAATCAAAGCAATTTGGGGGCTGAAATGTAGCCCAGTCAATCTCAAATCATAATGTCCTCTAACATACTCAACTGTCACTTTTCTTTCAATATAAACAAGCAAAACAATGGAAAAACTAATGGGTAGATTTTCCCCGACATCAGCAGGCAAGGAGAGTAGCAGGATGTGGATTTATATAATTGCTAGTGGACTACACACGTGGAGGAAATTACAAGTAAAGTAGTAAGATCAAGAGATCCTCTTTCGGGCCGGCCCGGTGGGTTCGCAGTTAAGTGCGCACGCGCTCCGCTGCTGGTGGCCCGGGGTTCGGATCCTGGGCGCACACCGACGCACTGCTTCTCCAGCCATGCTGAGGCCGTGTCCCACATACAGCAACTAGAAGGATGTGCAGCCATGACACACAACTATCTACTGGGGCTTTAGGGGAAAAAAAAAAACGAGGAGGATTGGCAACAGATGTTAGCTCAGAGCCGGTCTTCCTCAGCAAAAAGAGGAGGATTAGCACGGATGTTAGCTCAGGGCTGATCCCCCTCACAAAAAAAAAAAAAAACAGAGAGAGATCCTCTTTCAAATAATTCTTCATGAAGAGTAATTACTCAAAAGAATGAAAAATCCCCTAAGTTTTCAAAGCATGTTCCTTCAAAAATGCTCAGTGTTTCCTACGCATCATTTAAACATCCCTTGTGAGGTAGCTGGTCGTTACCTTCACAATTCAGATATGAAAAGTGAAATGTGGAGAGATTAATGACTTTCCTAAAATTTTATCCCTAGTCAGTGGTAGAATAGAGATCAGAATTCATGTCTTCAGTTGTTGAATAAAATTTTATTTCTTTAAACTTTTCTGCCTTCATCCCAGCACACACACACACACACACACATGCCTCCAGGTACACACACGCTATAGTTAAAATGCATTCTCAAGGAAATAAAGTGTGAACTGAGAGTAATAGAGTAATTAAAACCTAGAACCTACAGGGACGTCAACTCCCATCTAGTTCAAATTACTAACTTTACAGATGAGCATTATGATCCTAGAACCTGATTTTCATTCTTCTAGGGGAAAAAAAAAATTAAGTAAAA